CTAGGGGCAAAAGCCCTGGCCGCGCCCCGAAGGCCCCCAGAGGACTGGAGCTCTCGGAGGCCTGGGGTGGCCCCTGGTCTGTCGGCATACGCCTCGCCGTGAGTTCTCGTTGCGGCCAGCGAGAAGGCGGGGCAAGGGGAAGGCATGGCCCCAGGGGGGGCGGCTTCGGTCGAGGGCTTCGGTCGAGGAGCAATGGGAGGGCCAGGATTGAAGAAACCAACAACCAACCAGAAAACCAAGCCACAGAAACGGGGCGGGAAGCAGCAGCGAGCTTGGGTCGGCGCCGTCCCCGTCGCAGGAGCGGGGCGCCCGCCCAGGCTCCCGTCCGCCCCTCCCCCCCTGGACCGATGTCGGGCGCCCTGCCCCCGTGGCACGGTCCCTAGACCTCTGGCGACACGCTTGTCTCATTCCTGCTATTGCTCTTCGATTTCGGTTCTCCTCCTCCTCCTCCTCCCCTCCCTCCTCCTCCTCCTCCTCCTCCTCCTCTCCTCCTCCTGCCTCCTCCTCCTCCTCCTCCTCCTCGCCCCTCCTCCCCCTCCTCCTCCTCCTCCCCCCCCTCCCCCTCCTCCCTCATTCTCCTCCTGCTCCTTCTGCTCCTCCTGCTCCTTCTCCTCCTCCTCCTGCTCCTCCTCCTCCTCCTCCTCCTCTCCTCCTCCTCCTCCTCCTCCTCCTCCTCCTCCTCCTCCTCCTCCTCCTCCTCCTCCTCCTCCCCTCTTCTCCTCCTCCTCCTCCTCCTCCTCTCCTCCTCGCTGCCTCCTCCTCCTCCTCCTCCTCCTCCTCCTACTACTACTACTACTACTACTACTACTACTACGACTACTACTACTAATACTACTCCTACTCCTATTCCAACTCCTACTCCTAACTCCTACTCCTACTCTTACCCCTACTACTACTACGAGCACTACTACTACTACTACTACTACTACTACTACTACTACTACTACTACTACTACTCCTACTCCTACTCCTACTCCTACTCCTACTCCTACTCCTACTCCTACTCCTACTCCTACTCCTACTCCTACTCCTACTCCTACTCCTACGCCTACGCCTACTCATACTCCTACTCCTACTCCTACTCCTACTCCTACTCCTACTACTATTCCTACTCCTACTACCCTACTACTCCTACTACTCCTACTACTACTACTACTACTACTACTACTACTACTACTACTACTACTACTACTTCTACTACGACTACGACTACGACTACGGACTACTACTACTACTACTACTACTACTACTACTACTAACTACTACTACTACTACTACTACTACTACTACTCCTATCCTTATTCCTTATTAGAATATACTCCTACTCCCCCCTCAGGCCGGCCGATAGGGGCCGCATCCAGGTGGTCCCATCCTAACCTGTAAAAAACAATACAAAATCAACATGTTTCTTAGTTTTGCCTCTCGACATGGACGTCCTGTCGTCCACGGCGATAATCCATTGCAAAAAATACCACAAAGAGCACACGCGCGCGTTCATGTCAGAATCCTACCGAACACCGTGTGTTTGCAAGCATTTCAACATAAAAACATCAAAAACCCAATGTTTTTTCACAAAAATTGTACAAATTTCCCGCCCGGGCTCTCTTGCTGAAATCATAGGAAAACCATAGGAATCTTAAGAATTCGGTCAAATCCAGCGATTTCACGTCATCGCGCGGTGCACTCGCGATGCTCTGTCATGCACCCAGGCCGCGAATCCTGTGCAAAAAATACCACGCGGGCGACATGCGCGCGCGTCGCCGCGAGCGCATGCTCAAATCCTTCTAGAGTCGTCGCCGTCATTGGCACCGTCGCATGGACGTCCTGTCGTCCACGTCGCAAAATGCATAGCAGGAATGGGACGCGGCGCACACCCCGCGCCCGCCCATCCAATCCGTCCCATTCTAATCTGCAAAAGACAATACACAGTTTTTGTTTTTCTTGTCAACATGGTCGTGCTGTCGTCACGTCGCAAAATGCGTGGCAGGAATGGGACGCGGTGCACACCCCGCGCGAAGGGGTGACATGTCGCTCTCGCCTCGGCGCCGCGCACCAACGTTTTTCCTCTCAGCATGGACGTCCTGTCGTCCACGTCGCAAAATGCTTGGCAGGAATGGGATGCGGCGCACACCCCGCGCCCGCCCATCCAAACCCCCCCTTTATAAAAAAACAGTACAAGTTGGGGCCTTCAGGCTTCCTGCGGTGTACCGGGCCATTCTCGACTCGTCTGGCAATGCGTGCGCGGCATTCAACACGCGCTCGCCAGTTCCCGTCGGCAACCGCCATCGCGGCCGCATCAGCTGTACCAAACCGGCTGGCCGGTGTGACTTCGGCCCCCAGTTGTGCCAGCTTTGCTTCTTATGTTGTGGGAGGGCGGGTGGGACTGGGCATGCCATGCTTGACTCGCTCGAGCTGGCTAGCTTGACTCCTACTCCTACTCCTACTCCTACTCCTCCTCCTCCTCCTCGTGGGGCCCGACTTCGGGCCGCGTGGTCATCAAGACTGGGTCCTCGGGACATCGGGAGCCTGGGACACCTTGCCGGAAGTCTGGGACACCGGCGGCGGAGGCGCCACCGCCGACCTCCTCCCGCGGGCCCCTTTGGGGGGGTCCACGGAGAGCTCGCAAGGCCCCAGCAGGCCCAAAACTTGCGAAGGATGTCCCCGAAAAGCCTCGGCCTTCGACCCTCGACGACGGCGACAACGACGACCACGACTGCGGCACTGACGACGCCGACGACGACGGAGACCGCTAGCGGCGACGGCGCCGGCGCCGTCCCTGGTCCCTGGAAGCGGCGCCGAAGGCGACCATTACCGACTGGCGATGCCGACGGCGGCGCCAAACGCGACGGCCGACGCCGAAGCCAGCGCCGAAGGCGACGTCGATGGGACGGCCGCTGCGTGCGCTGGCCGCGGGCCCACGGCCCTGGGGCGGTCTGAGCGCCGCGCCCTCGCTTGGCGCTCTGCCTCTGTCGGCCGCGGCGGCCCTGCGGGGGCCCGCACCTGGGCGCGGCGGCGCCGCCGCCGCAAAGTCGCGGCCGTCGGCGGGTCGCGGCCGTTGGCGCTGGCGTCACCGCCGCCCTCGCCCTCGCCGTCGCTGTCGTCACCTCCGTTTTCGGCGGCGGCGCCGCCGTCGTCCACGGCACCGTCGTCGTCGTCGTCGTGCTCGCTTGTTTTTTGCTGGGTTTTCGGGGTGTCCTCGATGAGCCCTCATAGCGATGCGATAGCGGTAGAAGGAGAAGAGTAATGTAACGGTGATTCCCCTTTGATAAGTGGCGGTGTCAGGGGCCCCGCACACAGGGCGCCTGCCACTCCCAGGAGCTTGGTGCCCCAGGGTGGTCGTAGATGGGTTGTGCAGACATGGCCGAACGCCTGAGCCCAAATGGCCACAAATGTTGGGCAAGGAAGAAGATACAGATTCGCGCTGGCACTCGAGTGCGCATCCTCGATGAGCCCTAATAACGGTGCAATAATGGTAAAGAGGGAAGACCGAAATCACGGCGATCCCCCTTTTAATAAATGCCGGTCACGGGGGGCCTGTACGCAGGGAACTTGCCACTCTGCGATGGGAGTGAGTCATCAGTAGAAAAGAGAGCGGAAGGAAAAGGAGCCCCGAGGTGAGAGGGGCAAGCAGGGGCCCCCGCCATGGACACTGCTAGCGTCGGAGAGCCCGCCCCCCCGCTCTCCACGACACCACCCCCGCTGCCCGCTGCTCGCGCACGCCCAGCTGCCGAGAGGTGCGGCCTCGAAGGCCTGCCTCACCTCCATAGGACCCCCCGCGGCCGAGGCGCCCCCCCCTCCCGGGCCCCCGCCCCCCCCCCGCGACGGGAGGGCGAGGGCCCCGCAAAGCCAGAGGGGCGCCCCCCCCACCGCGGCGGGACCGACCGGAAGGCGGGGGTCAGAGACCGCCCCGAAGGCATGCGGGAGGGCGGCCCAAGGGCCTCTCCCCAGCCCTTGGGGCCCCTCCCCAGGCCCGACCCGGAGGACGGGCCCTCCGAGGGGCCCGCCTCTCGATCCTGCGGCTTCGCCCGCTGCATGCCGAGCTACTGGCTCGCCGTTAGTTTCCCGCGGCGCGCTCCTTCGGCGCGATCAGCAACCCGAACGATTCCACGTGGCACTTCGCCGCCTTTGCGACCCCCCCTGCTGACGCCCGCATTCGGCCGCCGCCCGAAGATACCCCGGCGCCTTCTGAGCCGCTCGCAGACCCGGTCCTCGAAGCCCCTGACCATTCGCAGCTCGCGTTCCTGAACCCGTCGCGCCTCCTAAATCAGGACCCTGCCTAGTGCGACTGGCACCAGCCCGCGGGCGCCCCAAGTCGCACGGCACCAGCATGTCCTCCTCGTGGGGAGGAGCACTCCCCAGAGCTGTCCGCATCGCGACGGCCGTCGCTCCTCCGACGGCGGCGCCGCCGCCGGCCCTATGCCCAGGCGCGCCACTATCTCTGAGCGCCTCCTCTGGGGCAGCGGGGGGGGACCGCAAGGTCCACCGTGGCCCCCCTCTGCCGCGGCGGCCCCGCCTCCTTCCCCGCCGCTCCCAGGCGTAGAAGTCGCCCTGTTGTCCACCCCGTCCGCCATCGGCTGCGCCGTCGATCTCGCCGCCCCAGCTGCCTCGGACGCCGCGGGCGCCCCCCCCAGGTCTCGAGCCGAGCCTGCCTCGGTCGACGGGGGGCGCGAGAGAGGCGGCTGCCCATTGCCCCGATCGCCTCGGGCTCTGCGGCAGCCTGCCCTCCTCTCGCGGCGGCGGGGCCCCCGTCTCGAGGGGTCGCGCGGGGCACCGGCGACGCTCGCAGACACGGCCGCCTCGCCGCAATTGCCGGACCGGGTCCCCATGGCACACGGCAAGGTGCTCGTCTTCCCTGGCCGGGGGGCGCCCGAATCCCCAACCGCCCGGCCCCGAGGACGGCGGCGCCTATCCGGCCGACCCCGCGCCATTCCCGCCTGGGCCGCTCTGAGATGGCGGCCCAGCGCAGCCCAGCACCTGCGTTTGAAGGTCAGCCTGCGGGCCTTTCCCGTGACCCACGCCCACCTGTCTGGGGCGTCTTCGGTGAGCTCGAAGACGAAGGCCTCTCCGACGCCCCCATCACCGCCCTGTCGCCGGCCACCTGGGCGCGTCTGCCCCCGCCGCCCCCCGCGGGAAAACGCCGCGGCGCGCTGGGTGGCCACCCTGCGCGAACGGGCGCATGGCTGCCCCGCGCGCGAGCGCCCGCGGCGCCCGCCGCGAGGCCCGCGCGCCTCGAGAGGAGGGGGCAGGCGGCTGCAAACATGCTGCGAGCCCGCGGACCCGATCGCGCTACGATCATGCAGGAAGAATCACGCGGGGCCCCGAAGCTCTGCCCGCCCCCCAGATGACCCACCCCCCCGCGAGGGCGCGCCCCCAGCCGAGCGCGCGAACGGACGGGCGCCATCGCCGCGGGCGGGCGCTCACGGTCTGCAGGCGTTTCGGGCCTGCCCGCGCAGCGAGCGACGGCCAAACGCGCAGCGACCCTGCAGCCGCGCGAGGCGCGATGCCGAAGCCCCGCCCGGCTCCCAAGGAAAACCCCCTCCCCGCGAGGGCGCGGACCTGTCGAGCGGCCCCCCCCGCCCGCGCCAGGAAGGGGGGGGGTCGCGCAGACAGGCGGGCGCATTCGCCCGCGGGAGGGCGCCCGCGGGTCGACGCCGGCTCGGGGCGGCCCACGCTGCAAGCGGCCGCGAGACACGCGACGACCCCGCAGCCCCGACCGCGTTCTGCCGAGCAAGGCAAGCGGCGCGATCCCGAAGCCCCGCCCGACTCCCAGAGAACGCCTCCTCCCCGCGTGGGCGCCAACCTCCGCCGAGCGCCCCCCCCCCCGCCCGCGCCGAGAGGGGGGGGGGGCGGGCGAGCGGGCGCCTTCGCCCCCGGGAGGGCGCCCACTCGAGCCGCGCAGGCCGGCGCTGCGCGAAGGGCCCGCGCCCGGGGGTGGCGCGACGATGCAGCCGCGCCGCCGCGCCCGCGCGACCCCGAAGCCCTGCCCGCCCCATGGGCCCACCCCTCTCCACGAGGGCGCAACGCCCCGTCGAGGGCCCCCCTCGCCCGCGACGGGGAAGGAGAGCACCGGTTCTGGAGGCTCTCGCCGGTTCTCCGGGAGCTGTCGGCGGCTTTCGGGAGCTTTTGGCTGCCTTCCGAGGTTTCGATGGCCTGAAGACTCTGGAGCCCTTCGGAGGCGACGACGTCGGGGGTCGCGGTCGCCGTCATCGGCGTCGTCGCTGTCGGTGTCCAGGAGATGCCAGGGGTCTGGGGGGCTGCAGGACCATCCAGAGAGAGGAAGACGAAGGGGGGGCCTCCAATGGTTTTCGGCCGGTCGACGGTACTATGCGAGCGCTCTGGGGGGTTCCAAGATGAGGAGGCAGGGGGCGAGGAGGAAAGAGGACGAAGGGGACGTCCTCCTTATTACTCCTCGTCGCTGGCCCTCCCAATCCTCACCCTGGCACCTCTTCCTCCTGATCTCTCCGTTCCTCACAACCCCCAGGGGCGCGCAGTGCTGCGCCAGCCTTCTCATGTGAGCGGTCCAGTCTTAGACACGTGTGCACAGAGTGCTTTATCGACAGATGTACGTGTATCCAAATGCGGCGTGGGCATTGGATAAGGAACCCTTAGATTAGGAATCCAGGGTCTGTAAGCCAATGGAAAACCAATCGTGGATTGGCCATGGATATCACCGCCGCCCTCATCAGATACGGAACCCGCACGGATCTGGAGCCTCCTGGGCACATTCCTCAACGAACGCCCCCACTGTAGATGTATGTGTACAAATACGTGCGTATCAGCGTGAACGCGCTCACACGTGTCAGAATTGGAAGAGAACCTGTGCAGCTATGGCAGGACATCATCAATTGCAACGGCTTATGCCGCAAATGCATCCCCCGTTTCGAAAGAACAAACTGCCCACCATGCCTACAAGAAGCAATGGAAAAGGGAGAGAAGAGGGGGGGAAGTGGGAGGGAGAGAGGGAGCGGGAGAGAATGAGGGGAGATGGGGGGGTGCAGGCGGGAGAGGGAGAGGGGTGCAGGACAGTGAGGACAAGCTAGGTGCGTTCGCGCAACATCTAACATCTTACACCTCCCTCCAGCTCCTTCCCGTTACTTTGAATCCTACTCAATCTGCCGAGTTGCGCGTCCTACAGGCATTGACCCCAAATGGCAGTCGCAAGTCTTGACCCATCGGTTGGTGTACAATCGGCGAGAGGGGCTTTCAATAGGGATAAACAACAACTTCAGCAGGGGGAGGCAAGGGAAGGCGCAGGGGAAAGGAGGGGGACGGCAACGACGACGAGGAAGGAAACGGATCCAGAATGCGGCCCGCGTTTAGGCGAGAGCGCCATTCCGAATAACGGAAACAGCGCACCAAAAATGCGGCCAATGCAACGGCGGGAACACAATGTTGAAAGACCGATGGAACTCCGATTGAGAAACACATACGTACCTCAGCAACTACCCTTCTGGTGATAAGGAGGTTTGAGGAGGAACTTGCATGTCGATCCACAATTAGACTTGAATATGAGTTGCGTGTAGTTTAACACATCGATTGCTATTGATACTGTATTGGCGTTTAGACATGCAAGGCGATTGTAATTGGACGTGCACTTCGATTATAATTGGCGTTGCATTTCGATTATAATTGGATTCGCAGCACATGTATTTTCGATGTGCGTGATGGCTTCCACGTCGATCTGAGTCCCGATGCACAAGTACCTTGCAAGTTCGATCGTCTGCAACTTTACACGCCTATCCGCACTTCCGTGTTCATGGCGACTTGTATCTCGAGTGCGTTGGGATATGTTTTGGTTCAACTGGTTCCGATTGTCTGAAGGGCCCTGGGACACACAAATAGATAAGACACCAATAACAGGATTCCTGATATTTTCCTGTATATTCTGAGTGTTTGTCTTCCCCCCCACTCCCCGTAGTTTCGCATATTTTCCTGGGGATCGACGATGAATTGTGTCTGTGTGTGTGTTTTTTCATCCTAATGATTCCGATTGCAATTGGATGTGCCGTTCGATCTGCACTACCCACGGGGCAAGCAAGAAGCAGCCCGCGGGGCAGCCCGCGGGACACCCCTGGGGGACCACCGGCGGGACAACCATTTTGGACAACACCCGGGCAGCCACGGGACAACCGCGGAACAGCCCACGACT